AGAGAGAGAGAGAGAGAGAGAGAGAGAGAGAGAGAGAGAGAGAGAGCTAACTGAGAATGGGTGGATTTGTAAGCCTTAAAGCCCACCTGCAGTGACATATTTCCTCCCAGACAATTCCACTAACTGGGGGCCAAGTCTTCAAACCTAGCCTATGGGGTCCATTCTCATTCAAACCACTACAAATGTGTGTATTAGCATATATTTTTATGCTCAAAATAACTTACTTTTAAAGAGTTGACTGACTACACGAAACAGCCCCAAAGATGTCCACGTTAACACAGTGGCTGAATGTCTCCTTTGCTGATTTCTTCTTTGTTTCTGGTGCAGCTTTTGAAGTCTTACTGGCTGGACAACTTTGCAAAAGACTCTGTCAACCCCGGCGTGGTGGTGCTGCTGGGCTGTGGAGCCCTATCCAGCACCTGTGGGCAGCTGGCCAGCTACCCCCTGGCTTTGGTGAGGACTCGTATGCAGGCACAAGGTGAGTTTGGGTTCCAGGATGGCCATGATGACACTTCACATCACTGACATGCTTTTGAAACACACACTCTCTCTCTCTCTCTCTCTCTCTCTCTCTCTCTCTCTCTCTCTCTCTCTCTGACCCTTACTTGTGGATAAGGATGTGAGCTCTCAGTTACAGCTCCAGTGCCATGCCTGCCTGCCTGCCTGCTACCATGTTCCCTGCCATGATGGGCATAGACTCACACTCTGAAAATGTAAGCCCCAAATAAACACATTCCTATAAGTTGCCTCAGTTGTGGCATCTTATCAGAACAATAATAAAAAATATAACTAATACCTTAGCTCAAATATTTTAAGTTTTTTTATTTGTTTGTTTGTTTGATAGTATTGTATTTCTCAATGGAAACCCTGTGGGTTGGGAGGAGTCAGAGTGTTATATTCAAAGTGCTAAGTTTAAACAATAAAAGGATCCTGGCAACCAAGTACAGTATATACACAAAACTGTCTTTTGAATATAAAGAAGAAATTAAGAGCTCCATGGACAAATAAAAGCTGAAGAATGTACCAGACCTGCAAGAGATGACAAAAGGCATCCTTCAGTCTGAAACAAAATGGCAATAGACAGCAGCAGACCACACGGAAAGTCTACAGTGAAAGTGATTAAATAGAAAATGGCAGCCTTGTGATATTGTAATGCGGGTATGTAGACAGCTTTAACCTAGTATAGTTTTCAAAAGGCAGAGAAGTCATTGTAAACCCATGTTAGGGGACATACTGTAAAAAGACATTCTGCTCGTCATCAAAACAGGACAGGGGTGCCCAGAGGTGTGACGGAGTGGGCTTTATATGTAATTGTAGTTGACCTGACATAGATTGTTACAGTATCAAGATTTTTATATTAGAGGGATGCTGACTAAGTAGGAGGCGTCTGGGAATGCTACCTCTGTTCCTACTTTTTAAAATAAATTTTATATGGAAAGTTCAATGCAGAGAATAAGGAGTCAGCAGCAACTGTTTAACACTGTGGCAGAGAATCATGCACATGACTGGGTCAGTCTTCTTCAACAGGCTTCATAGTCGGTTTCTTTACACCAACATCATCACCATGCCTTGAGCTACTGGTGTTTAAACACCTAAAACATCACCAAGCCACACATATTTTTCAGCTCCGTTATCTGCAGAGACCTCATCATATACGTGGCCTCTCATTGGCCCAAACAGTATTATGTGGCACATGATTGCACGTCTTATATGATGGACTATTTCTGAACCAGTAAGAAGAGTAGAGAGTGAGGCATGAATGAACCTTGAAGGCATTATGTTAAGTGACGTAAGTCAGACTCACAAATATGCCTAACTCCACTAATGAGACACCTAAGATACATACATTCATAGAGACTAGGGGTAAACTACAGGTTCTGCGGTTGAGGGGAAGATGAGGTAGAGAGTTACTGCATAATAGTTTGGGTTGATAAAAAAAATAGTTGAGAAATTTACAGTAGAGAAAGCTTCACACTAGAGCAAATATAATTAACATTACTGAATTTCATAGCTTAAAAAGGGAGTTTTCAGTTCTGTTTTCTCATAATTTCAAAAGTTAACAATGTGATAGTCCAAAAGTCTTTAAATTGTATCTTTTAAGTGGGTGAAACTCATGACATGGGAATTATATCTCAATAAAACTATTCAAAATAAAATGAAGTTATTTTGGAGGGGATCTATGAAAAAGTAAAGCTAAGGTTAATAATGAATATATAATAAAGGATGCCTTCTGAGTTGCTTTCATTACACATCTTCCCTCCAGAGCAGGGGCTTAGCCCCCTCCTGCTGTGTGTGCTGGCTCGCATCTGTCATGGCATGACTAACAAGGCTGAGCTTCCTCTGTGGCCTTGCCCATCTCCTCACCAGAACCTGGGGTTCTTAAAGGCCCTGAGTCCTTCTTTCTCTCCAGCATCGAATGCAATGGAGTGTGTGTTCAGTAAGTGTCTGTCAGATTCCTACATTTATTAAGTGACCCATGTGGCAGGGGTGACCCACAGTTTGTTGACCTGAAGGGCAGGAGAGATCCGTGCTTCATATTCTGAGTCGTCTGAACTCAAATCTCCATTCGCTGCACTTCACAGGCCGGACTGCATTCCCCATGCCCCGCCCCCAGCCCTGGAGACTGCTAGACGACATCACCCACTTGACTGTATTTAGCAGTGCCAGTTTTAGTGATTCTAATAAACTTCTGCTCATTTTTTTCTGTGCACCCTCCTGTCCCTCATGCCAGCTTCCAAGCTGAGTTTGAGTTCATATTCATGCTGGACAAAAGTAACTATGCCAGGAAATCTAATACAAAGACCACTCAACACATTGGTGATCTCCAAATCGGGGTACTGGAAAGATCAAAGAACACACCTGCACATGGACAGCCCGGCCCCCAACCGTTCTCCTCCACTCTCCCTGCCTTGACACAAAGTCAGAGTCCATGGCAACCAGCTACCCACCTACCCTGCACACTGAAGCGTGGCTGTCCCCTCACTCACCTCATACACAGCGAGATCAATGCCTGCGTAGGGAATAATGCCTAGTAAATTGGGAACGTAGCCTTTGTAAAATGCTCCAAAGCCTTCATGTTTCAAAATCTTCTTGGCACAACCGTATATTCCAGAGTATTGTCCAGTTTTGGCTACAGCTAGCCGGGTTTTCAAAACCTAAATACCAAAGAATCCAACACAATCTCATTCTCACTTAACATCGAACAATTTGAAAATATTGATTTTTATAAAGCACTAGCAAATTCTCTCTCAAGAGAATGTCCAGCCTGATGATAGATTCTCCCTTGGGTGTTATTTCCACCGAGAAGCTAAAATTAGAGCCAAGAAGGGCCAATTATTTCATAAAGAGTCTGAGGGATGGTTTTGCCTAAATAAATAAATAAATAAATAAATAAATGTGGTCCAAATAATCATTTTTTTTGTCATAATAAAATTAGTTGGCAAGGAAAGTGACTGGTGGCATTGGGGACAATTCCAGTGACTTCAGCTTGAAGCACAGGATGGAAGATGGAAAGGTGGGAAGTTTTAGTTGAAATGAAGGGTGTGTGGAGTAATCTCTGGAGACTCAGGGGTAGCTCAGTCTACAAAGCACTACAGCACCAAGATGAGGACTTGAGTTTGACTTGCAAAACCCACATAAAGAAGCCAGGGGTGGGAATGGATGAGATCCCTGGAGAGGTAAGACAGGCGCATCTCTGGGCCAATCAACCAAGACTGTAACACTGAGCTTAGGCCAATGAGAGACCCCGTCTCAAACCAAGATACACAGTGCCTCCTGATGAATGACACCTGGGTTGACCTCTGGCCTCCACAAGCACATGCACATACATGTGCAGCCACACAGACATGTACACCGACACACACATACATATACAAACATGCACACACACATATACACACATGCACACACATATACACACATGGCAAAGAGGTTCAAGTTAAGGGTATATTTTGCTTAGGTCTTAATCAGTTATTGGAAAGTCCTAGTTGTATCTATACAATTATCCACATCTACAGTGTTAGTTTTGCTCTAAAGCAGGAGTTGGCAAACACTTTCTGTAAAGGCCAAGTAGTAACTATTTCACTCTTTGCAAGCTTCAAATATGAGATCTGTTACATCCCATTGCTTTTCCTTTGCTTTCTCCCTGACTTCTTCAGGAGTAACAACAACTGAGGCTGTACGCAGCAGTCCTCAAGTGGCCTGAGATTTGCTAGCCAGCCCATGCTTTACTGCAATGATGACTAGTTGGTATTACTGTCCTTCCATTACTGGGCTGTGGTACAAAAGCTCCCTGGAGAGGAATGAGAGTAATATTCTGTATCAGCACTGTGACAGCCAGCCTCTGAGATGTCCCCTGAGGGTCCTGTCTCCAGGGATGCTCTGCTTTGCACAGTCCTCTCCCACACGGTACCAGGGTCAGTCTGTGTAGACAGCAGGGTACAGTGGAAGTGACAGCAGACAGCAGTTTTCATCCATCACAATCTTTCTCTCTTCTTGCTCGTAGTGCTGACTATAAAGGAAGCAAGCGACCATGCTGTGAAGATACACAGACCATCTACAAAGGCTTGCATGAGTTTCCAGCCAACAGCCAGTGAGGCCTGGCACAAGAGTGAGCCTGAAAGCAGAGCCACATCAGGGGTTAGCCTCTAGAGTGGCACAGCCCTGGCTGACACCCTGAGGTTGTCAAAAACCTGGAGCCATGGAAACCCAGATTCCCAGTTGCCAAACTGTGAGATGGGAAAGGCTTGATTAGACTGTTGAGTTTAGGTTAACATCAGTACACAAGTACAGCTAGCAGGTTCATACACCACCAAGCAGTCAGAACATAATGGTACTTGCCTCCATGGGATAAATAAAAGTCTGTGCAGTTGCTCCAGCCATGGAACCAGAGATAAACCTCTCGAAGGTGCCTAATTTTTGTCCTTCCTCGGTAAGCAACTTCTTATACTGAAAAAAAAAAAAAACGGAAGGAAGGAAGAAGAGAGAGAGAGAGAGAGAGAGGGGGAGGGAGAGGGGGGGGGGGGGGGGGGGGGGGGAAGGGAGAAGAAAAGAAGGATGAGAGAGAGAAAG